GCTGCAAGAGCCAGCTGCTGCGTGAGGAAGAGAAGGGCGGCGCTAGAAGCCGCCAGCCAGAGAGTGACGGAGAAGGAAGGCGGCGAAAGAGGTGCGGCGATGTCTCCAGCGATCTGGAGAGTCCTCCCGCGCTCTCCCAGAGCTAGCCCAGGTTCAGGAAAGAAATAGAGGAGGTGCAGTGCTATGGTGTTGTACCGTGATCTCTTCTCTGTAGGTGCTCATGTGAATGTGATAGGATCGAGAGAGAGTTTTATTCTTTGTTTACATATTTTTCTCTGATGAAGTAAATATGGCGATGGCAGCTTTGCTTGCATCGATGCATGTATTGGTAGCGTTTATTGGACCCTGATGCAGTGATGCTTGATGAAATGTTCCGAAAAAACTGTAAGTTTCTCAAGAGGCTGTCCTCGGTCATTTCTGCTTATGTACTCCCTCTCCTTCCTAAATGTCTATCGTTTGCTTCCGGTCAAAACAACTTTGACTAATATATATTAAAAAAATATTAATATTTATGATACATAATTAGTATATTAGATAGATATTTGAATCTAGTTTTTAATAAATTTATTTGGAGATGTAAATATTATAATGCATTTTCTATAAATGCGACTCAAAGTTATCGGCATGCAAATCGTATTTACTAAACATTTATAGGGACGGAGGGAGTACATTTTAAAAACACGTCCATTCAAATGAACAACATCAGTGAGCAGCTACAACTAATCAAAGCATTTCTACATCGCTTAAACCATATAAACAGGTACTATTAACATAGCCCTGTTTGCCGCTTAACTTATCAACCATGTGATGTATCGTACCATTTTATCGGGTCAGAAAAAACATCAGCCGAATAGCCGGATATATATAGTGATGATCTCGTGACTCTGCATCAAGTTTTAATTATTTGTATTGAGTAGCAGGCCAGCAGCAGATCTCCCTTTACCTACAACTCATGCTCATCAACAGGACTACACTTCAGGTCAGTGATGAATTTCTATTGGTCTCTGCACCAGCCAGTCTTCTCGGTGAAATCATTTTATAGAGCTGTGATACAAACCCAATACCAAATACTAACACAAGACTGTGAAAATTGGAAAGCTCCCTTAAGTTTAAAATTTTCTTATGGTATTTGGAGGAGAGGTGTTGTGTTAACTAAGGATAATTTAATTAAGTGGCAATGGCAAGAAACAAAACATGTTTGCTTTTATCCAGGATCGAGACAACTCAGCACTTGTTTTATTGATTGTCGTTTATGGCGTGATCGGTATGGAGCGTTGTTCAACGAGGCCCCGTCATTGGTCTGGAAACTTGGGTGAACTTAATTGCAGGTTTTTGTGATAGAAGAAATCAGAAAGGCTTGGCCGATTGATGACAATATTCTATGAGGGCGTTTGACGGCTGGTAAAACCAGCCGTAACACACCCATAGCGCTTCAATTTAAGTAAAACCTCAAAGTATATCGATATGTTTGGTAGTTGGTTGTATGGTGTCAAGAAAGAGTTGAGGTCGTTAGTATCTTTTAGGAGCAGGGAGTGATTGCCTGGTCTATATGGTTGCACCCAGGTGAATGACATTGTTTTGGAAAGAAAACTTATTCTCCTTGCAGGTTATTTATGCAGCTACCATCGACTTCGTTCCTGGGATATTCTCCAGCGGTCCGGATATGCAGGTATAGTTTACAGAGGTCACACGAACAATGTGAGCAGTGTGAAGGTCTTCTTTTCCCAGGCTTTTGGTGGTGGTCTAGTGTCACCGGATTGGACTATCATTAGTTGTTGATTTTCTCCATTTCGGTTTCCCTTTATGTTGTGTGCCTCTTAGCTAGGCGCAGACTGGGGGAGTATTTCAAAGTCTGTGTATCATCACGTATGTAACGCCTCTTTGGTTTAATAAAGCTTCCTACAAAAAAAAAAAAAAAAACTTCGGCCGGGATCTTGCCCTGTTGACTTTAAAAAACAGGACTGTTACACTGCGCACCTTACAGGCTTACAGCTGAATAAGCAATTGGAGGCAAATGCAACCTAATCACAGTGCTACTTATTAATTATCGAGGCAAATCGCGCAGTGCTATTCAGCTACGTGTTATCCACCAACTTTAGGCGCCCTACCCTGTCACATTGCAATCTTCTGAAAGCAAATGTGCTTTTGTGTTGGGTCTTCCATGCCAAAACTAATAAGCCAGGTAACTCACTGAAAGGTGCACAATATTCATAGTAGATCTGGACAGATTATAGCATTGCCCTGCTACCCTGCTTTAAAGCTCCAAGAGCAACTCAAGGCCTACAAAAATCCGTCATCAGTGTTATTCGGTTATTATACATCTTTTTTTCGAAGGAAAGGGGACTTATATTAAATCTTGGCATAGTACATCCTCAAATTACACATGAAAAAAATCTAAAATAAAAAAATACATGATGTTCTATCCATTCTTCAATCGCCTTCTTCCCAAAGGGGCTTCCCTCGAATGCGAGAGCAGTGCAGTCCTTATGCCAAACCAAATACCAACCCCAAAACATCGACATCTTTGCAAGATCCAACACTTCTAATCACCCAAAAACATCTAAATCATTTGAAAAGAATATCGGCATACGCCATCAGAGGATACGACACAGGCTGCTAAATCATCACGCATGGAGATGCTGAATTCCTCTCCGCGAGCCATCGACAATGAGATCGATGACCCGAAGCCCCAGTCCTCATAGGGGCTCCTAGAAGCACCCCTTTCCTCGCAGAGATAAAGGCCACAAATTGGCCGCGTGCACGATGAATCGACGCCTACAACGCACGTCCTGCCGTAAGCAGATCCCATCGAAGTCATCGCAGGAACACGATGTCGACAAAAATCATACCGATTTCGGCCGAAAGATTTATTGGACCAAACCTTAATCAACTAGATAGAAAACTGCAAAGGGAAAAGGATGGTCCCTCTCTGTCTTATCTCCGCAGGCTTGCTTGAAGATGAAGAAGGAGAGGGCACCAGGCAATGCGAGAGGAGCGTGGCGAAGCAAGGCTGCTCTGTGACTGAGGTACGTGATGGTGTGTTCTTTTACAATTGGTTATTATACTACATCTGTTCCAAAACTTAACATTTTAGTTGTCTAAGTCAAACTATCTTTAAATTTCAACTAAGTCAAACTATCTTTAAATTTCATCAATTCTACAGAAGATTGTCAAATCTATGACACCAAATAGGTATACTATGAAAATATGTTCCATGATAAATATGTTTGTACTTATTTGGTAATATAATTTTGGTATTTTCTTATATAAATTTGGTAAAAAGCTAAGATAGTTTGATATAGACAAAAACTAGAATACAAGTTTTTTTGGATGGATGGATGCATGCAGTGTAGGCGTACTCTTAAAGAACTTTAGGCCGACAAATCAGTTATCCATGTGGATTTCGGTTACATATTCCTCCAGAACTTTAGGCCAGAAAATAAGTTATCAGTGTAGTTCAGGCCTTATTGAGATGCATCCCAAATTCCAAGTTTTTTTCACTCTCCATCACATCAATTTTAGCTGTTTGCGGTATTAAATGTAGGTAAAAAAAATAACTAATTACACAGTTTAGTTGGAAATCACTTTGGAGATGAATCTTTGAGCCTGGTTGGTCCGATTGGACGATATTTCACAAATAAGACCAATGGTAGTGCAGATTCATCTATCGTTGAAATCTTTTTCAGCATCTAAACGAGGCCTCAGTTACATTTATATTCTCCGGAACTTCAGGCCAGCCAAATCAGCTGTCAGTGTTATTCAGTTATATTCTTGAAAACCTTAGGGCTCCTAGCTAGCTACTGAAAGCAATGTGCCTTTGTGTTGGTCCCTCCTCCATTTGTGTGTGGCACAATGCACAAAGTGGCAAACAGTATATTCCCTGTCCACGGAGGAAGTAAAGCGGAAAGGGCAAGCGAGAGGTGACATAGATGCATATTGAGCAGTGGCTGCTGTGCTGCATTTGTCGTTGGCTCTCTTTTTCTACTAGCCAAATTATTGCCTTTTCAGTGGGAGAAAAGTATTGCTCCTGCGTGGCTCTGCAGGAGAGCATGCATGCACAGTTTGAGCTTTGCAATCTCAAGTGACTTACATGATCTTCATTTGCAGAAGAGGCGGAGTTGTTGGTTGCAGAAGAGGATGACATGCGTGCGGTAGTCTTCATACCTCTTATTATTATTATTATTATTATTATTATTATTATTATTATTATTATTATTATTATTACCATTCCATTAATAAAACATAGCCCGGTTGATTTGATTCATGATGATAATTAATAAACAAATGTTGTCACTCTTCTTCAACAGTCAAAAGTCTGGCCTTAAGTAGTTATTGCACGAAAATGTCTTCCGTGATAACTAATGGATCATTCTCAACTAACAAAGCCAGAGCTTTTGCAAAGGATAAAGTATTATATATAACATCACATGCACGGCACTGATGAAGCTATATCCAAAACCTGCGTGTCCCTCTTGAATTCTCTTATGCCTCTTGTCTTAGGATAGCACGACTACGTGTCGATCGTGTTGTTTCTGGATAATTAGAACAATTGATTTCACAGTATAAGGATTTTAGTTTAGTACTAATAAACGTAGTATTTATCCGAGTAAGAACTCAAATATGACATTATCATCTTTGCTAGCCTTTAAAATTAGGAACACTAGTCCGTCAACTCATGCTCAAGCATGATGTAGAATATTATGTTACATAAGAATAGTTTCGTGGATAGATTCAGTACACAACTAATTAAAATTTTATCTTTATTCTCTGTCTATATCTCTTTACTCATTTCATAACACAATAGCTATGTTGATATTACAATCTCTATTCGTCTGTGGTAAATCTACCAATTACTTCTATACCAAGATTATTTTATATGCCAAATAATCTAAAACAAATTATCAGTTTCATACTATCATGAAATGCTACATGCAGGGGCATCCGTCCGTTTGGACCAGTGGCGGAGCGAGGATTTTTAATATTGACAAGTTCAAAAAATAGCACACATAATTATGTAATAATTTTAAATTTTAAACTAAAATAATCTTTTAGACACAAGTTCACGGTGGCTCTGGAAATTGAAAATTAAAGATAAACCAAGTGAGCAATAGTACTACATCATCCATTCCATTTAACCCCTACATATTAGAGAATTAAAATTTACGTGCTTGGCAAAGCCTCCTCCCTCTGCTTTCTGTGGTAAAATGTGAACTCAGAAGCTGAGTGTGGTGACGTCCAACACTGACTCTGCGTCGGCTTTGCTCCCTGTCATTATTAGTCTATGCTACTGCTCCCTGTGTCCCAGCTAGCACCTCTACCCTGTCTCATCTTCCCCGCCTGCTACTGGAGGTGATGTTTAAATTTAGGGAGTAAAGTTTAGAAATATCATATTATGGTGTCACATGGGAGTGTTTGGATAGTAATGATAAAATAAATTACACAAGTCCTCAGTAATCCGCGAGACGAATTTATTAAGCCCAATTAATCCGTCATTAGCACATGTACTGTAGCACCACATTGTCAAATCATGGACTAATTAGGCTTAAAAAATTCATCTCGCAAATTAGTCGCAATCTGTGCAATTAGTTATTTTTTTAGTATATATTTAGTACTCCATGCATATGTCCAAACATCCGATATGATAGGGAGTAAACTTTGGGAGAGTAACTAAACAAAACCTCGAGTCTTCTCAGATACTGAGTAGTACATTGTACTTGGGTCTAAGGTGTCACCCGCATACAAGGAGCGGCTGGTCGGCCTTGGCTCGCTTGTGGGTTCAACGCACCTTCGTATTCGGCATACCAAATTTCGCTCTGCGCTTGCCTTTTTTTATTACGGTATATCGGCATCCCATTGCGCTTGTTGGATAAGGAAAGGAGAAGGAGATGAGAGACCTGCTCACGCGTCGATGGTCACCCCGCTTTCTCTGCTCCGCACGGCCGCCTGGCCGCCTCCCCGCTTTGCTCCGCCCGCTCCGTGCCGATGATCGCCTGTGCTGCTCCTTCTCCGCTCCACCGCACCACCCCCAGCACTTCTTGCCATTGCTTACGCTCATGCCCGCTTCACATCTGGCTACGGCACTACATCACATGGCCTTGCGGGACATCGCTCCCTCGGGCCAGGCTAGCTACTTGAGGCCAGCTGCGAAAGAGAAGCTTCAGCCCTAGTGTGGAAGCCTCTCCGCCTCGCCTCACTGCTCTGGCTACTGGCTACCGATATAGACGGCGGAGGAGGTCGCACCGAGATACGATGCATGTTGCAAGCGTACATTTCAAAAGTTTCAAATGTTTTTGAGGTATGTTGCAAGTGTTTCATATGGATGTTGCAAAAGTAGATCAGGATGTTGCACATGTTGCAATGAGCTATACACGTATGTTTCAAGTGTATGTTCCAAATATTTCATTTATTTTTGATGTATTTTGTAAGTGTTTTATTTGGATGATGCAAAACTAGATTGGGATGTTGCATATATATGCAAGTGTTTGTGTGTTTTATACATATATGTTGCAAGCGTTTCATCTTTATGTTTGCGATGTTTGCAATAGATACACGTGTTTTCAAGTTTTTTGTGTTTTACAAGTGTTCGAGTGACGTATGTTGCAAGTGTTTCATTGTTTTGGACGTATTACAAGTGTTTCATCTGAATATTGCAAAAGTAGATCATCCGATTGTTACACATGCCGCAATCTGGCGTGAGAAGGGAGAGAGCACGAGCGGTCCCTCAAGATGCAGCTCAAGGCGCCCCAGATGTATGTAGCGAAATGCTGTGCTCGGGCACC